GGGTCATTTCGGAATTCGCAAAACAAGGCAACGAATAGCTAACAACTACTACTGGCCTGGAATGTTAAGAGATGTTCGTAAATATGTTCTGAGTTGCGATTCTTGTCAAAGGTTCAAATCCAGTCAACAAGCCGCTGCCGGACATATGCTTACTCAGCTCGCTGAAGAACCTTGGGCCATGGTGTGTGCAGATTTTGTGGGACCATTACCCAGGTCCAAACGAGGCAATAATACACTACTGGTTTTCATTGATAAATTTACAAAGTTGGTGGAGCTTATACCTTTGCGCAGCGCTACTACAACCTCCGTCCAAAAGGCATTCCGAGAACGAATAATGGCTAGGTTTGGAATACCGAAGATATTCATTACGGATAATGGGACCCAATTCACCAGTCATGCAGCACGGAAATTCTTCACACAGTTAGGAGTCAAACAGCAGTTTACCGCACCGTACACGCCACAGGAGAACCCAACCGAGAGAGCCAATCGCACGATTAAAACCCTAGTTAGCCAACTCACCGAAGGGGACCAACGTAACTGGGACGAGTACTTACCAGAAATAACCCTAGCCATTAATTCAACGGTTTCAGAAACAACCGGATTCACGCCAGCTTATTTAAATCACGGACGCGAACCAAGACTGCCCAACAATATGTACGATAAAGTGACACCCGGAAATGGAAACCTTAAACAAGACCTGAGCGATAAAGCAACAAAGTTACAGGATGTAATAACTCTAGTCAAGCAAAATACTCGTTGCGCAGCCGCGGAGCAAGCCAAACACTACAATCTTCGACGCCGGAATTGGAAACCAGCCGTGGGAGACAGCGTTCTAATGAAGCAACATATCCTCTCTAAAGCAACTGACCATGTGGCAGCTAAACTGTCACCTAAGTTTAGTGGACCTTACAACGTGAAAGCATTCAAGTCTCCTGTGATTGTAATACTTACAAGTAAGGACCGGAAAGGCACCAGAACAGCACACGTCAGTGAGATCAAGCCATACATCAAAAGCGAGTGGGGAGGGGAACAAAAGCCTACCTGATTTGCCAAATGAAAACACAACAGCGATACGCTCTTACTCTCACGCCCTAATAAGTACAAGCGGTAAGACATAGGGGTGATTAATATGGTGTTTCTTTCATTTCCATTACAGCAACTACACCAAGACTCATAAATCCAATAAACAAAAAAAAAAAAATGCGAAGCCAACGATTTGAACGAGCTAATGTCAAGGACAAGGTAGGGGATAGTACCGCAATGTCGAACACTGAACCAGAGTTAGGCGCTAAAGAAAAATGGGTCGAGCTTTGCCGTGAACTTTTTGGCAGCGATTCTGAAGAGGAGTGGCCATTACCGCTAGGAAGTGAACCGATGGCAACAAACAGTAAACAATCAGTCACACAATCCGAAGTGGCGCCAAAACTACAATCAATTCCTAGGCAACAAGGAGTAAAGCCGCCCTCAATCCGACCGAAGACCTGGAGGCCAAAAAAATCAGCAAAACCGGTGCGCCCCACAACAATACCCATGCGGCCAAGCCTTGAAGCACTTCTCCAGCAACAGCAGCAGTGCCGTTTAGAACGGAAGCAAGAATCGTTTAAACCAGTGGTCGAAGTAATGATGCCAATGACGTTTAGTCCACCAGGAAAGCTAGCTACCTATCCGTCAACATCATCAATAGCCAAGTCCCCGGTAAAGCAGCATTTTGAAGAACCAACAGAGGCTGAGGAGTCATCAATAAGAGCTTTAACACCAACAAAGCTGCACTCACAAGTGGTACTGACTGGCTGTCCACCAACACCACCCACAGCCAAGAAAATCCTAGCGCAGGTGTATAACGATAAACCAACCCCAACTTTCGAACCGGCCGTGAAACAATACCTGCAACCCGAAGAGATACCGGCAGCTGTTAGCACTGAGATACAACAGAGAGTAGTGATTTTCAACAAAAGAGGCAAACAGAATTTTCTAACTAAACACAAAGACCGGGTCTATCAAATTACCATGAGGAAGTCAGGAAAAGTAGTGGTCGCGCTTTTACCTTCGGGGAAGTAGGGAGGGAGTGTAAGGCCCAAATTTTATTCTAAAATTTAACCCCACAAATCAAATGAATAGTCAAATATGAGTTTTAAATTCACTTAGTAAAAACATGTTTCTAAATTCAATAAAATTTTCCTACAGTAACATCCATTTTTATTATAAACAAATGACCCTGTAAATTTCATATTAGAGACAAACATTTTGTATAAACGAATGACCCTGTAAAGTAAAATATGTTTTGATTAATTTTTTGCCGCTAATAAAAGTTAGTTAAATTTGTTGTAACTATTTCACTTGTTTGTCTGCATAAACAAATTTAAGAAAATATCGTGCACGCATTTTTTATATGATGCAGTTATTTTATTGAATTTGATTGCAAAGCGTACAACAATAAGAAATTTGTTTTGACAAATTTACGGGACCTTGTTTACTTGAAGATAATTTTTGTTTTTGCCTGTAATGGAGGGAATTTCAAATAAAAGGGCAGCGAAATTGCCAAATCGTTCTATTCGGAATTTCTCCTGTTACAGGTAAGAACTATTTTGTTAGGGACGATAGTGGGAGCTCGGACTAGTTGGTCCAGGCACATGTTGATTCGTTTGGCCATTGCTGACGATCACCATGTGAATGGATGGACTGGATTGGGCGAAGTGACGGTGGTTGAATTACCTTCTGCTTGGCTTATGCTGGCGTAGGGTAGTTTAACCAGTTGAGTTACCTGATGCTTGGCTTATGCTGGCGTAGGGTAATTTAACTAGTCATCCAGACTTCCATTTGGCCATAGCTGATGGAGGAATGGACGACGAGTCACCAACACTGTCAGAAGGCGTGTGGGACAACGAGCGTTTGGCAATTGCTGACGGACGTGGCCAGGCGTAACAGTAGGAAGGAACCCTTGTCTGGCTTTTGCTGACAAAGGTATTGCTTTATATTGATATTAGAGTTTCTAGAGATTAGCTATTCGGAATTTCTCCTGTTACAGGTTAGCAACTTGCGCACCACTGCAAGCAATCGTCATACGACATTTCACAACATTCTATACCGTTTACAACATCGTGACAGCGTTTATGACATCATACAACATTTCACAACATCCTACACCGTTTACAACATCGTTACAACATTTATAACACCATACAACATTTTACAACGTGCTACACCGTTTACAACATCGTTACAACATTTATAACACCATACAACATTTTACAACGTGCTACACCGTCTACAACATCATTACAACATTCTACATCATTAGCAACATTTTCAACATCGCTTTCCACAAATTGATTATATTTTCTTATTTTTTGTTAAATAATAAACGCTACTTTAAACAGAAGTGTCTCTATTATTTTACTTAGATAAATTTTCTTATAACGAACCCTGGTATACTCGCTGAGTATACCCCAGCTATAGATAGGGCCGGGAAAAGGTCGTTACATATGTGTGCTTGTGCATAATGCTTCATAAGGTAGTTTTAAGACTTTAATTATTAGTGATAAAATAAAGAGCAAAAGAGCTAAAACAGTCTTTTACTTTACGGAACGTTACAACACTTTCTGTCACTGATGATACTGAGATATACTTAGCCGTTGTCCAGGGGTCGTTGCAATGTTATTTTTATTTTTGGAAGTCAAAGACAATGTGATGTAGTAATTCAATTATTTATTTAGGAGAATTTAAAATAAAAAAAGGTTTTACAATCTAATATAATTACAATATAATGCTGGTTTGCTAATTTGATGACTACGATTATTTGGGATAATCGTGCTTCGATGAGGGTTCCGATTGTTGTTTCCACTTGCCTGAAATGTTGGTGTCGGCCGACACTACTCGTGCTAATCTTGGTGTTTTGTTAAAAGACGTCGTTAAGTGGAGATTAGAAGTGTTATGCTGGGTTACAGCCGTGGTTAGCATTTATTAATGTTAGGACGTATTACTACACTAACTCAAGCCTACAGAAAATCCTACCAGTCAAGATGTGTCATGACTACCTTGGCTTGATTTACATATAAGACTTCTTATACAATCTACTAGTCAAGACGTATGTACTACCTTGACGCTATACAAGACTACTAGTCAAGACGTATGTACTACCTTGACGCTACACAAGACTACTAGACAAGACGTATGTACTACTTTGATGTTATAGTTCTACTGACTTGTTTCACAAAGACGTATTACTACCTTTGAGAGTTTCCCAACAAGTGATTTTTCTTCTAATACGAACGCTTATTTATACTAAATCGCGCGAAGCTTTTCCTGTTGCGCATACATTGCTTCAACTAGTTTGCATATTTGACAACGTTGCTGTTTTTTGCTTTCGTCGCAATTCTTTTAATAATTTGCGTGCGTGTCAATTTTTGCACAAAGTTCTTTGCACAAAAGCTCTTTTGACATTTCTTGTTTTGTTTATATATTTTCAATGTGCTTTCTATTACTCAGTGTCAGTAGTGCCGGTGTTTAATATTTATATTTATTAATTAAGATTACAAATATTAAAAGTATTAATATAAATAATAAATAAGGTGAGTGTATTATTTATTTGTTTAAATATATTTTATATTCCTTGCATTTTCAATGTAATCTTAGGTTTATTCATTTGGAGATGTAACCTCTCTATGTCACTATTACCTGATTTTTTTTACACGGTAGTAAATCTAAAAGATATGTTGCTTTCTTTAAATAATTCTAGTTCATCTAGTGCATTATTGTGACTACATTTTTAGGTTTACCTAAATATTGAATTTGCATTTTGATCCCTTCTAATAGCGCTGGTGCATACTTTGTGAGCTTATCAATACTGGTTAAGTACATGACATTTTTTTACGGATACCAAATATCAAAATGAGCGATTTATTTGTGACAACATGAGGTTTTTGTTATATTAAGTCTATGTTTTAGTGGCTGTCTATCATATTTGAAAAGATTACATATGTATATATATCGCAGTTATTGATTTATTTTTGTATTGTTTTTAGAAAATCAGGGTAGTAATACTTTTGTTTCAGCTCTGAAAATATTTCATTAATACCTCTATGATTATTTTTAGCATGCTTTTCTTCGATTATATTAAGTAATTTACCTCTATCAGTAACATCTTCCAGTAATACGTTCGATTTTAATACTTGTAACTTATTTGCAAAATATTTTGAGTATATTTCTTGATATTAAAAATATGATTGATTATCAAAACAGTATACAACAAGTAATCTTTTTTCAGGCATTTATCTTGCATTATTTGTAGAAGGATACTATTTCGTGAACCCCAATTATTTTTCTCGTTTTCTTTTTGTATAAAATTTTTGTTTCAAGCTACTCCATTTTGGATTTCTGCAAAAATATTTGTCTTTTAAATAAATTGAGTGGCTTTTTTGAAAAGTATCAGTAAACAGATCATTTATGTTTATATATAATTCATTTATACTTTTCTCTTTTACATGTCTACTGAGTCCACCTGGTACGACATTATCTTTTACTTTGATGTGTGATATGTCAAAATCATATTCATTGAGTTCAATTTTCATCTGCGTAACTTAGAATTCGGTTTTTTCAAATTGCTAATCCAAATAAGTGGTCAATGATTTGTCTGAATTAAAAACTTGGGACCAAACATATATGGGCAAAAATGTTTTGTTGTCCAAACAATTCCTAAGAGCTCTTTCTCAATTATATTATTATTTTGTTAATTGAGTTTTAGTGTACGACTAGCATAATAAATTCCGTTACTATTTTGCATGAGTATTGCACGAAGCGCAAGGTTACTCGCATCTGTAATAAGGGTAAATTTTTTATTGAAATCGGGTGAAACGGGAATAGGGTCAGATTTAAGAAGACTTTTGAGTTTTTTGAATACGCCTTTGTATTCCCGATCTTTTATATTAATTTTAGTATATTTTTTAAATATTTGATTAGCGAATATGCTATTTTCGCATAATCTTTTATGAATTTTCTAAAGAAACCTGTTATACCTAGAATTACTTAATATCAGTTTGGGTAGTTCAATCCCGTTTATGGCATTAACTTTAATGGGGTTAAATGTCCTAAATATTCTGTCTCTTGAACTAAAAATGTGCACTTATTTAAGTGAACTTTCAGATTTTATTTAGCAAGGCAATTTAGGATTTTATTAGTGAGTCAAAATGTTCCTCTACATTTGAAGAAAATATGATTATATCATAAACAGGACAATTCATTAATCATGAATTGTCCTGTTCATTCATTAACTTATTCATGAATTACGATTCATTAATCTTTGAAATGTGAAAAGAGCGCTTGGAAGGCCAAATGACATACGGAAGATCTCGTAGTGCCCATTCGAAGTTGAGAATGCAGTTTTTGATATATCATCTGGATACATTTCAATCTGGTGAAATCCTTTTGTTAGATTCAATGTTGAGAAAAACTTACAATCTCCTAATTTGTCAAATATGTCGTCCATATTTGGAATCGTTAAGTTTACGATAGTCAATGACTATACGCCATTTTTTCTTATTGCATTAATTTTTATTAGGCACTATTCAAATAGGACTATTATATGGTCTATGCGATTTTTATATTATTATCTGATCCAATATTTCTTTTATTTGTTTATCAATTTCATTTTTATATATTAGAGAGTATCTGTATGCTTTTGAGTAAATTGGTACATCATTTTTTGTTATTATTTTGTGCTTGATTTCATTTGTTGTTGTTGTTGTTGTGATTTGAGTTAGTGCTATTGCGCACTCTTTTACTGTTTTGTGGCTGGGGGCTTGTCCCTGCCCCACACTAAACTTTAACTATAATAGAATCATTATCATTTATTTATCTTCTAACTGATGACAGACCGTAGATCAGCATATCTTCCTGTGCGTCCTGAGGTGGACTTAAGACTTGTTAGGGCAGGGTTGGGCAACGTATCAAATTTTGTGAATAATTTTAGGGCTCTGTCCTTGATATATTTTTTCACTGCTCCAATTCTTAGATCTCTTTGCTTGTCTGTTGTTCTAATATACCACGGAATCTTAATTAGTCTTCTTAAAGCCAGATTTTGTGCTATCTGTAATTGCTTTATGTCAGTATTTGAGGCTTTGCTGTATGTTACACATCCGTACAATAGTGCTGGCCTGATTATTTGAGTATATAATAACTTTCTATTTTTAAGGTTGAATCGATTATTATTAAACAGCGGCTTAAAGAGACGTAAAATTTTAGAGCAACTATTCCGTTTGATTTTTTCATATGTTTATACCAATTAAGCCGTTTGTCAAAAATGATCCCTAGATATTTTATGCTTTCCTCCCGCCGTATCTCCGTGCAACCGACGCTCACTCCTGGAGGATGCTGCCTTCTTTTTCGTGTTATGAATATAGTCTGAGTTTTGTCGATGTTTATTTTAATCTTCCATTTCTGGAAGTATTTCATTCGTAAAAGAGAATTTGCCATTAATGCCATTGTCAAAAACTTTATAAATTTTAACAATAACTGACTTAAGTATTTGTGATTTTTTTTTATTTAAGTGATCAGTTTTAATTTTGTCAAATGCGTATTCTAATATATTAGTAAATAAAATATTATTTCCCATTATGCCATTAAACTTGTTTTACATGTCGCATTTAAGGAATGAGCAATACTCGTAATAGTTTTTTGCATTAAAGTCGTCAAAAATGGGAAATCTACATAACCTATGAATAACAATTTCTTTGCCGAAAGCTTTAATATTAAGTTGGACATTTTCCTTTCATTTTCAGCATGTATAGATTAAAAAATAAAGGCTTCTTAATTTGTTTCGATCTTTATTTAGAGTAGATTCTGGACCTGCCACTCGAAAATTTACATTAAAATTGCCAATTTGCATTGGGATTGGGTCGAAGTTGCTCGACTGATTTGATGTTCTAGTTTGCCTTGTATCATTTGTATTTTGCACAGTTTCTTCATTATTATTATTAGTATAATTAGTACTATTATAATTTCTAGGAGGGTTATATAATGTTCTACTGTTGTTATTGTTATTGAAACTATTTGTGTAGTTTCTGTTAAAATAATTTAGGTTATAATCTCTGTTTTGATTAAAATTATTGCAGAAATTTGCGTTACCAGAACTAGATAATATTATACGCCTCTTATATTGTTGAATGATTTTAATTGAAAATCATGATCTTTGTCGGTTCTGGCAAACGTTATTTAAAAATATTAAAGCATGTTTTATTTGTCTCTCCATTTGTATACATAAGTTCGTCATGCGTTAATTTTCTGTTACAAATTTTGTTTCTGACTTCATTTAATTTAAACTATGCACAATAAATGTTTCTATAAAAAGAATAGCTTTCAAAATAAAAAATGGGCGACCTCAAAAGTTGACTTTCAATTCGTTGAACTTGTGTTTCCAAATAAAGCAGTAGTTTATAAGCGTTAATTAACGTTAATTAACTTAATTAGATGAGTGTTCAATATCAGCGATTCAATTTTCCACAAGGAAAATAAAGAAACAGTTATCGGTAGATTAACCAAAAATAATTTTCTGATCAACATATTAAATTTCTGCACCATTTCTAGACAAAAACAATATCATAAGAGTAGGAGAATGAATCTCAGAATCAAATATTCTGTACAATCAGAAACATCCAATGATTTTGCCATACAATGACTCCTTCGGAAAACTAATTATGGAACACATACATTAAGAAAATATCCATTGTGGGCCTCAAGAATTGCTGGTACAGCCCAGGCAAACATTCTGGCCAATTAAAGGAAACTGCATGGCCAGAGCTGTTGTACAACAGCACAACTTCAAATGTTAAAACAAATAATGGGTAACCCACCAAAGAATAGAGTTTCTCCAACCAGACCATTTTTCAATTCAGGAGTAGATTTCTTGGGACCAGTATGGATTTATTACAAAATCCTTGGAAAAAAACCATGCAAGGCCTACATTGCGGTATTTTGCTGTTTTTTTACCAAAGCGGTTCATCTGGAGATCATCGAGTACTTAGCACTTAGACTAAGTATATTAATACTATGTGTTATCATAGTTTGGTATGTGTGCAAATGAAAGAAGCACAGTACAATGAAGAAGTTATATCGTTAAGTCGAAGAATTGCAGAACATTAATTGGTGTATTGGCAGGTCACTGTTTGGTCGCACCAGACGTGCACAAACTAAACTTAATTCACAGTAACGCCTGTAGGAAATGCAATGAGTAGAATAGAAAGGAAACTCTGGTGCAACTGCTGTGTAACTGCCCGGTTCGCTTGAGAATTTGACAAAAATACTCGCGGCTGTGAGTTTTACAGGACTGGATCACATGTCTGAGGTTTTTAATACAATACACTAATAACATGCTTCCTGATTGGTGCATACTATCGCTAAAATAACACTCTAACCTAGTGCGGATATGGTATGTTATGGTATAATAATATTTAGAAAAGTTTAGAAAAGAAACAGTCTTTAAAAGGCTTATTACCCCTTTTAGTGATGTATTCAATTTAGAAGGTGAGAAGCTTTTTATTTCACAGTCCAGACACATGAAGTAATTACTGAGTAGCAGTAGCGAGGCGTCAGCTTTTTGGCAAGGTGTTCACAATTTAATCAAAACAGAATTCCAACTATAACGTATTCCCCCTACTTCTAAGTTTTGTCCTTTCCACAAGCAAATAGCGTACAAGACCAATAAAACAATTTATTTAAATGTTCGCAGCCTGTGATCCACTGGTTTTTATTTACCATAAAGCTATAGCTGTAGGAAAACGACGACTTACCATAGATTTCGACATTTTTACAACAGGTATCAAATTCTTCATATCTGGAGTTGGTTTATTCATTTTATGAATTAAAATCTTTTTTTCAGAAGATCGTTAAAAAAAAGATATTTGAATCAAATCTTTAATCACACATTAATTCATTTCTAAATATTATTTTTCACTTCAAATTTCTTTAATTTTTTTCTTTACTTTTACCATTTGCTAGTATTAAATTGCAATAATGACTTTGTTATTGATTTATTTCCAACCTCTATATAAGAGTAAGAAACTCTCATGCATTCATTTACTCTTTTACTTTGTATTTACAATGCCCGGTTCAGTTTTTATACTGAACCATTTCCCCATATAAAACAGCAACCGTGACTTTGATTGTATTTGCACGCTTTCTATAAACTTTTGGTTCAGTTTAGTGGAATGATCCTCTCGTCAAATGTAAAGCGATTTTCGCTCAGTTATTTCTTTTCTCTTTTGTATTTACTTTGCATAACATTGGAAGTGCACTTTTTTTATTGAACTGCTTGCACGCATTAATTTAAGAGTTAAGATTATTTTACGTACATATATTTGTTTGTATGTTTTGTGTTGTGTATTCAATATTGAACATAGTCCCAATGTGAATGTTATTTCATTTGCATGCTTTGTAAGCAACGCGGTGCAGTTTTAATTTTGAACCTTAGTATATTTTAAGAGGAATGTGTTTTCTCTTTTATTAATTGTAAGTAATGTTGGGTGTAACTAACACATGTGTGATTTTGTTTGTATTCTACGTTTTGTGTTTACGTTAATCTGTTTGGAAAAGCTATTATAAAAAATGTTAAGTAGCAATATAGCGAGATTATTTACCTAATAAAAAAAAATTTAAAAAGGAAGCTTTGTTAAGGTGTTCAGTGAACACTCTGAACCATTCGACGCCTCGCCTCTGCTGAGTAGGGTTAGGCTTTAATAAATATAAGACAGTAATGTTTATCAAAAAAGGCGTCTTAACGATTTACACCAACTATCGCGAAATTAGCTTTATACCTGCCGCGAACAAGGTCGTTTCAACTGTACTGTGTAAAAGGTTGAATCCACTTGCTTACTCACTGATTGAGCCTTGTCAGTGATAAACTTAAGCGAATTAATATACAGGACCTTTGTCATGTCGTGAAAATGGGTGAACACGCTCCAGACAAAAAGGTATTTAAAGCAGTAGCTTGAAAATAAGGGTAGAGATAGACCATGACTCCGGCAGAATGACCCAGAACAAGGAGCACTTGCCGGACTTGAAATACGAGACTGCAGAAATCTTCAGTGATTTGCACGCAACTGGAGTGCCTGGAGAGATATTCTGCGTTAGGCCAAAGTTCTGTGTTAGATTATTATGACCAAATAAGTGAATAAGTAAAAATTTCGGGTGAAACACGGAAAGCATATTTTTTAAAACAACAACAACTTGTGCAGAAATGATAAAATTAATTACGAAGCATCTTAATTTCTATACTTATGTTATATAACAATATTTCACTTACTATAATATATAGAATATACTTATATAACAAATTTAGCTTAAACATTTTATGACAAACTGTTTGAAAAAATGGACTTTAAAGTATTGAGGTCTTTATGCTTAAAAATTTTTTCTGGAAAATTTTTTGAATCTTCCATCCAATCAAATGTTTTTATTTCTCGTACCAAAAATCATTTCGTTTATTTGTTTTATAGTGCGAAGTATATAAGCTTTCTTACCTGCTTTTCCTTAAGTAGTCTAAGTCTTTGTAAGAGCGGCAAGCCTGCACCAATTGGGCTGGATGTATTATCATGGTATTCATCGCTCTCTGGTATAACATCATCGTGTTCATCGGAACAAACTCTAGACATTCTTCTTAGCACAGATTTTTCATTGTTAGGTGTAGTATTTTGGAGAGGTTGCAGTTCCATAGATGAACCATTTCGATGAGATGCTCTGTACCAAGAACGAAACACAATGAAGTAAATAAGACATTACATGTCAAACTATAAAAATATTTTTGTACATGTAGAGTACTTAATAAATACATTACCGAAAAGTGCACAAGGCAACACTGTTAATTGTGCACTGCTTTTTGCTTAGTCGTTCATGGGGCAGTTGGCTTCTAGACATAAGAAGCGGTAAACGTGTTTCGTAATTAAGAATAATAATAAAGGAATATCTCAGATATTACGGTACATAAGGATTAATTTTTCAATATAAACATTATCGATCTGCAACCTATTTGATATTCAATACCATGACATGATTACCAGTTTTTTTTAGTACATTTTTTATACATGTCTTAGACATTTTAAACAGTAAGGGGTGAAATATCACATTTTGCAACTTCTTGTAAAGTGAGCTATATTTATTAACCCATTTTGTACCTCCGTGTGGTACACCACATGGCTAACTTTAAAAATTATTTAAAAATATTTATATTAGTAATTAATCCAATGTTTTTTATTTTTGTTACTTATTTTGATATCTTAATAATATAAAAATACAGATTTCGAACAGTTTTCACCTGTTCATGAGTTTACCTAGTTCGAAATAAAAAGTGTCCAAAAAAATGCCTCTTTTAATCAAATGAAAATTAAAATAAATAGAAATAAAAACTAATAAATTTGTTATAACATGTGTTCCCAAAAGTCCAAATATAATTTTCGTAATTTTTACCGGCGCCTTAGTAACAGTTACTTGCCACCAGACGGCGAAAAAAGGCGTGTGGTGAACCACACGCTGGGTCCCATAATACTATAATGATAAAACAATGCATTATAAGTATTTGTCGTTAAGTAATAAAATAAAATGAGACTAATCTCTCTAATAAATATCATAGTCTTCTGATTTACTTAAACTTGTGTTTTTTACTATGTATAATAATAATAGGTCTATTTTGAGATTTGATTGCTGGTTGAGTTAGTCTGAATTTGATTATTTTATATAGGGCTTCCATTTGTTTTGACGTCAATTTCTAACTGTAAATAAAATTATAATGTCGTGCCTAAGATATCTAAGAAATCAGGAACTATTGCATATTATTGACAATTGGAACGAAGATGACTCATTAGTGTCAAGTGACACTCCGCTACTTATTGAACAATAATGTTTGCCACCTGACAATGTTGCTGGTGAATCGGACAATGAAATGATTGACGATGATGAAATATCAACAAAAATTACATGCGACTTTAAAACTTTTTTCTCCTTTTTTGAATTCCGTTTGTCTAATTGTGAGATGGTATTTAGGTACTATTGAAGTTGTATACGAATCAAATGCACAAGAATATGGTGATCTTGTAGAAATGTCTGAGTCACAGCTATTCATATTGGAACTTGTAAAACCAATAGGTTTCGGTTATAAGCTATGAACCCTTTCTTTGGATAGTGGGTATATCTTTCAGTTTCTGCCATACTCCAGTGCAATTGACAAATATAACAAACAATTGAGAATCGGTGCATTTGTAAAGGACTTATTGAGCCATTGTGAGTATTCATTGCAACATGCTGTATGATTCCGTTGAACCCATAGTAAATGTGCAACACTATAGCAGAAAGAAAAAAAAAGGTTGGTGTCCCACAGCCCCAAGTTGTCAACAGCTACAACCGACACATGGGCGGCGCTGATTTATGTGACAATAGAGTTGCTAACTGTCATATTGGGAATAAAAGCAAAAAGTGGTGGTGGCTATTATGGGTTCAGTGTTTGGATAGCGCTGTTGTAAACGCTTGGAAACTAAATTGCTTTGTCGCTGCTTCTACTAACACAAATCCGATGCCTCAGTTACACTTCAAGAATTTCATTTGCCAGAAACTTTCTCCGTCCATCAGAGAATTCAATGTTCATTACAAAAGCTACCGCTTACGATGATTTGAAAAAGGAAAGGCCATTTAAGTGGTTATGTAGAAAATTGCTTTAAAATTTTCTATGAAAATAAACAATATTACATTGATCGTAGACAATGACGCAAGTAAGTTTTGTTTCTTTACATAATACAATACATATGTAATTGTGGTGTCTTTACCAAAAGAAGCACGCGCTTTCGAGTTGTATTACAGACTAACTTTATTATAATTTTACAAAAGCTTACGAACTAAACATTTTGAGTATATCGTGTTACATACACTGTCACTTATAATATTATAAATATATATATTAATTATATATATCACATTCTCCTCCTAAATGAGCTATTTATTTAAATTAAATATAACATTAAATAAGAAAATTTAAAATTATAACTTTATAAATAAAACATTACTTATAATTACAATTCAACTAAAATTAGAATAAATTCCATAAATCAAAATATGTAATTCAAGTAACTTCAAAAATTCAAATAATTCAAAATATGTCATAATGTAATTCAAAATATCTTATTAAATTAAATTTATTATTCTTTAGTTACTTTACCATTCTTTCGTGGTCTTAAGTTACGTCATTATTATCAATTAAAATATTTTCATTATTATTACTTACTGAATTTTCAAGTGGTGTGTGAGTTTCCATGATATTCTCAGTCACTGAAGGATTGTTGTCCAGAATATTGGACCCAGTGTAGCACCTGCTCGTATTTCTCGTATTACAATTTCAAAATTTGCTTCATTTTGATTACGCAAATTTGCACATAAAGACTTTTTTTAGTGTTTTTACAAAATTTTCAATCTGTCCATTGGTTGAAGGATGACCAGATGCGGTCAAAATATGATTTATATTGTTCTTTGTGGTGAAAACTTTAAATTCTTCTGAAGTGAATTGTCTACCATTATCACTCACAATTGTATTTACAATTCCAAAACGACAAAATAATTCTCTTAATTTTGATATTACAAAACTTGAAGATATGTTTCTGGTTTGATATACTTCAACCCATTTAGAAAAAGAATCAATTATTACAAATAAATAAAACCCTGCAAAGTCTATATGAACTCTGTTCCATACAGTATCAGTTGGAGTCCACGGTATTAAAGTGCTCTTTTCTGGGCTTGCTAAAAGTTCTTGACATGGAATGCAAGTTTTGATCAAATTTTCTACATCAACATTTATATTTGGCCACCAGACATAAGATCTAGCTATAGATTTGGTTTTGACAACTCCTAAATGAGATTCATGTAATTTGTGTAAAACACTCTGTCTAAGTTTTTGAGGAATAACAATTCTATACCCCCAAAGTAGACATCCACGATCAACTGTTAATTCTATACTCTTGGTAGTAAATGACGTAAACTGATTTCCTTTTAAATTGTTAATTGTTCCATTTAAAACAGCATCAGATTATTTTGAAAGAATTGGATCGAGTCTAGTTTGTTGTGCTATATTTTTAAAATTCAGAGATTGTTCTTGAATACTATATATATAGCTTTTATCGTCGTCATGGTTGTCTTTCATAGTTTCATCGTAATGAATCTGCGGAATACGTGAAAGATTATCAGCATGATTTAAATGTCCTTTAACATACTCTATTTTATAGTTAAAACCAGTCATAATAAAAGCCCATTTTTGCATTCTTGCTGCTGCCATGATAGGTAAACCTTTATTTTCATTGAAAATTCAAATGAGTGGTTCGCAATATAAAATTATTGCCAAGCAAATACTGTTTTAACTTTGAAACACAAAAAATTATAGCTAACGCTTTCTTTTTAAGAGTGCTGTAATTTTGTTCACACTTAGATAAAGCTCTTGAAACAAAGGCAATTGGTTTGCAATCATTCTTTGAAAATTCATGAGAAAGAACTCGTGCAACCGCACTATTCGAAGCATCTGTTGTTAGTATAATTGATAATTCTGGGTTGAAATGTGTAAGTACTTGGTCTGATGTGATATCTTTTTTTATGCATTCGTACGCATCTTGACATTGTTCAGACCAACCTAATTTAGTATTTTTTGGTAATAGCCTATAAAGTGGAATCATTTTGTAAGCAAAGTGGAGTTAGACTGGAGTTAGTTACTTACTGGAGTTAGACTTACTTGTTTTTTAAATTTTTGTAGCCACGATAAAGATGCTAAACTGCAAGATGCTCCCGTATCACACATCCAACTTCACACATAAATTATGTGACATAATCCATCGACAGTCACTGGAACTTTAAACTCATCAGCACTTCAAATTTCAGATGTTACATTGTAAATGGAAAATTTCGGATCATTATTATTTATATTAACAAATTTTTTAGATTTTTTTACAGATAAAAACTAATTTTTTATTTTTATTGATTTTTACATTCCTGCACACTGATGCTAGGTGTCCAATTTTTCCACAGTGATGGCATTTAGAATTTTTAAATCTGCAAACTTTTGAATCATGATTACGCCAGCCACAATGATTACAAGCTGAATTTTTACTACAATTTTTATAACTGCTGGCATACTTATCGCTGCTCTTATATATTGTTTTATTTTTCACAATATTAATTTCACTGTAGTCATTACTTGTTTTTTGCTTCACTTCCATAATGAGTGCTTTAGGTAGTGCTTCATCTAGCGAAAGCTTTTCGTCTTCTTCGCAAAGTCGCTCAAAAATTGTTCCTGATAATCCAACAATAAAACGATCCAAAATAAAAGACTCAAGTTGCTCACCGAATTTGCAATTCAACGCTAATTGTTTTGTTCTAGCAAACCACTCGGAAATTGATTCATTTTCACTTGTTACTGCAGTGTGAAATTTTTTCTCTCTCTTTGAATATGATTGTGGGAGACGTGTAATGTTTATCCATTATATTACAAAGCTCTTTGTAAGACTTTGTAACTGGTTTACTTGGACTGCATATATTATGGAGAACAGCATATGGCCCCGATCCAATAGATTTTAAGAGAAGAGCTTTTTTTGTGTTATCACTGATGCAATTTATCTCGCAAAAGTAAATTTCTAACTTTTCCTACCACAAATCCCACAATTCGCTGCATGGATTAAATTCCGGCACGTGTTCAATTGGATGATATACATTAATTT